GGGTGGGTGGGTGGGTAGCTACCCGCCCCGCTGCGGTGCCGCGCCACAAGTGCTGGGTTGGGCGGGTAATAGTGGATTTGGTGATGGGTTGACGGTGAAAACCTCTTCTCTCCTCCCCTCCCCTCCCCTCCACACGCCGGGCGGGGCTACTGCTGACTCAACCCAACTCAACCCGACCCGACCCAGCCCTGGCGATGAAGGCCCCTCCACCCACCCCTCTGTGCGGCATTATACGCTCATGGAAATATGTATGTATGTGCTTACAGGTGTGGTGGTGTGTAGGGGGGTTAGGAAGGACCTGGTGGCTCTGCGGGTTAGCGGGACTGGAGAGGGCGTAGCTGTAGGGACAGTGTCGGTGTCAGTGTCGGGCGCTGTTTCGCTGTGATTGGTATGTGTGTTGTGTGTACTGCGCAGGTGGCGGTGTGCGAGTTGGAGGAGACGTTCTCCGGGGCCATATACCTGCCGGGGGGGAACACCACCGCCGTCATCACCACCAGCAGAACTAGCCCCCCGGGAGGACAGACCCAAATACCAGTAGCAGCAGCAGTAGCAGCAGCAGTAGCAGCTAGCGGAGGCGGTGTTGGGGCTGCGGGAGGCAGCGGCGGCGGGTCCGCTGCAGGGGCGGGACTTCCGCCCTCTGCCGCCAGTGGCGGGGCCCGGGGAGGGGTGGCAGCTGATGCGGCTGCAGCGGCTCCCCGGCTGCGCGGCCGGCCCATTCAGAGCCGGGATTGGGCCGGAGGGGCGTCCAAGCGGAGGGTAATGAGAGGCCGTGGCAGGTGCGCGGGGCGAGTGGGGCTGGGGGTGGTTGCGGACACGGGCGCTTTCCTCAGGACGTCGGCGGCGGCGGCTAGCAGCCGGCAGCCACCAACAGCAGTCACGCCAACGAGCCCCAGTTGGAACGAATGCACATGGTGGTGCGGGTCGTGGTGTGGATGCTTCTCTCCCTCTTTAGTGTCATTTTTACTGCTACTGCCATTGTGACTGCCACTGCCACTGCTATTAAGTGCTACTGCCATTGCCACTGCAACTGCTGCTGTCGCTAAGGTCTCGCGGCAACGGGGGTGGCGGTGGCGGTGCGGGGACCTCCCCTCTAGACCGCAAGGTGCGCAAGAACCGGCCCCTGTCGGAGGTTATCGCCGCCGCCAACGCCTCCCTGGACCACCGCTACAAGCGACAAATGGCGGTGGGGTTCAGGGAGCTGTGTGGAAGGCTGGCGGCGGCGACGGCGGCGACGGCGGCGACGGCGACGACATCGGCGGCTGACGCCGTCGCCGCCGATGCGGTGTATGCATCGGAGCGCGGAGCGACGGCGCCGCCGCCACCGAGCAACGAGGACGTGTACGAGCTTCTGAGCCTGTTGCGCCGTTTGTCGTTATGGCCCGTGACAGTTGATTTGCTGCGGGCCACTTCCGTGGGGCTGGAGGTGGGCAAGCTGCGAAGACACAGCTGCCCGCAGGTACCGGGGTTTAACGGGGGGGGAAGGCTAGGGGGGACATGGGGGGGGAGCGGGTCCACTGGCGGGAACCCACAACGAAGGGAAGGCCAACACGCCGGGGGTGCTTGTGGTGGTGGTAGTGGTGGTGGTGGTCGTCCCTGCTCGACTATGTCCCAGTTCGCCCTCTCGCCCCTCTTACGGCACATGCATGTCTGTCTGTCTATCTGTCTGTCTGTCTGTCTGCCTGGTTGCATGCAGGTGGCCCAGCTGGCCCGTGCCCTGGTCGCGCGGTGGAAGGGCCTCACTGGCATCCCGCGGAGGGAAGGGGACGCAGCTGCCGGCGCTGGGAACACGAAGAGAGGGGGCGACGCAGGCAAGGCTCGCGTCACCGCTCCCATCGGCACGGAAGCGGCTACAGCAGCAACAGCAATAACCGGATCCGCAGGTACGGCAACTACGGCTGTGGTGGACGAGCAGCTTCGTGGGAAGGTACGAGCGTTGTTCGAGGGCTCATTGCGGACGCACGTGGAGGCGGCGGCTCGAGTACGGCATCAAGTCCCGGAGCCGGCAAATCTGGATCCGGAGCGGTTAGCTCTGGCGGCGCGTGGTCTGGAGGCCGCTGTGTTTGAGGCGCACGGCAAGGACGGTGCGTGTCTTGTGTTTGAATCGGCTGCAAGCCGGGGGAGCCGGGGAGCACGTACATACATGCTACGTACATACAGGGTTTGGCACTACTGGTAAGGCGCGACCATTGCCCCCGGGAGAGCCCGGGATCGATACCCATTAGGGTCAAAAGTCCTTCCGATGGTGGAAGGCATTGCGCCCCTAATTGATGGACGGTGGTGACCTGGGATAAAGTTAACCTGCGAGCCGACTAGGAATGGAGTTGGGCCGCTGTCGACCCGGCAGATTCCGTTGGATGCTGGTGGTGGGTGCGGAACCTGAGCGATCCACTGAGAAGTTGACTAGGGTGACTGGATGAGGGTGCCCCGACATACCGGGGAAGGCAGGGTTTCGCAGGGTAGCTGCCACGGGCGAAGATACACCCCCCTGTTTCACACATCATGTATGCATGTATGTATGACTTAGATTACACTGTGGGCTGCGAGAGCCGGGGGCCGAAGCCGAAACACAGCGCAAGGGTCGGGAGCACACAGCACAAGTCGGTTAGTCTTGTGTGCTCCCGACCCCGACTCAGACTGCCAACACTCTACGCAGCCACTCCGCAGCCCCCCCATCCGGGGGTGGCGCTGCATTGAATACACCACGAAGGGCTCTCAGGTCCCGCTAGAGCGAGTCCACAAGTCTCAGCTAGGGCAAAGTCAAAGGCTCTCTGAAACAACCCCCCAAAACACCACCAACGGAAACGGGATTCGAAGGGAAAACAAACAAACAAACAAAAATTCGGTTGGGGCAGTCCCGGCAGGGGAGGGCTCCTGATATACCTAACAGGCCAACAAAAAAACACCTCCAAGAGAGAACGGCTAAGAGAGCTCGACACCACAAGACGTCTTGCAACCACCTTAAAACAACTGACCTCCACCACCTGTCCCTTCCTGGGCTGGTCCAGGGGAGAAGTAGCCTTATAAAGAAAAGGGATCCCGCACAAGCCTGATCACCACTGCAGGGGCCCGGGATAGTCCGGCGAAACCACAAAAGCGTTAGCGTTGCCACGACACACAGCTCCTAGACCCTCCAGAAAACCGCAGGGGGAGGATTGTAGCCCGCGCGGCGCCTCCCCCTTACCGCCACTAACCTGAACGGTTGGTCCTCCGGAAACCTATTCACCCTGTGTATGTATGTATGTGCATGCGGGGCACGATATTAGGGTATGTAAACACGTGCATGTGTGCTTGGAAAGGGGGGCCGCGAGGACAGCGGTGGTATTTGGCCCGCACGTGCACGTGCACGTGTGCTTGTGGTGATGCACGTGGACACATGCGGCTTTGCGACACTACACATGGACAGCTCCTTAGCGCACCACCACAATCACCACCACCACCGCCCAGTCCTGCTGCATGAGAGGAAGCGCACATCGCCGAATGGAATCTCGGCGAACTGCAGGTCCGTCGTACAAGTCCCACACCCGGATGCTGATTGGCGCTCTCAAGCATGCCGACGGCGTGGCGGCGGACTTGTTGTCCGGAGCCACCGACCCACGGGTCATGGCCACTGCGGACTCCATAGCGCTGGCCCCCGCGAGTGTCCGAGCTCAGGTGGGCCCTCAGTTGGGGCCCTGACCTCAGCACTGAGTCTCCCTCTCTCCCTCTCTCCGCTCGACTACGAGCCATTACCGATTCTCCCACCTACTGATGTCCAGTTAGCTCTGGTGTAGTTTGTATGTATGTATGTATGTATGTATGTATGTATGTATGTATGTATGTATGTATGTATGTATGTATGTATGTATGTATGTATGTATGTATGTATGTATGTATGTATGTATGTATGTATGTATGTGTGTTAACTGTTGGTAGTTATGGTTGGTTTGATCATTGGGGTCCTGGGGGGGAACCACATACCCTGCTCTGTACTGCGCGGTGGTCCCCGTCACCTTCCCCGTCACCTGCTGCTGCTGCTGCTGCTGCTGGTGCTGCTGGTGGGTTGCGCTGGTCCTCATCAGGTTGAGGAGCTAGCCCGGAAGAAGCGGCTGGAGATGGAGGCCTGGGAGCGGGTGGGTGCGGGTGGGAGCGGGTGGGTGCGGGGTAGTGGGGGGTTGCAGAGTCGCTGGGTGGCACTGGCTGACCAGCGTACAGCCGCATTAGGGGACCGCATCCGGTGACCACATCGTGATCATCGTCATCGTCACCCTCAGCATGTTGCAAGCCGTTTGGCCAACTCAAGTCTCCCTGCTCGGGGTCCGAGCCACTGGCGCACGGGTGCACGGGTGGTGCTGATTCACCGCGTTTGTCCGCCTTATATAATCCAACTATTATAACTTTGCCATCAGACGAAAGTTCTTTAACAACATATGGAAAATCCGCACTTCCTAAATACAATATCTTTTATAGCGGATGGGAAGATCAGTTGCCATGTCCACACCTCTCCACTTGTGCAGTCTGTCTGTCTGTCTGTCTGTCTAGCACCAGTCAGTCAAGGCGTGGCTTCCATTACGGCCATTATCAGAATTATTCCTTTCCGTACCAACACCGATTTAAACCCCCCCAACCCCCCTTCACAACCTGCGATCGACCCACGGGTCATATTCATCTGCCTTTCGTTCTCTCTCTCTCTCTCTCAGTTGGCGGGTCAGGGCGACAGCGCCTCTACCTACAAGAGCAGCGCCTCCGTGTGTCCCTCCTGCGGCGGCGCCGGAGCCACCGTACACGTCGTACTGTCCGGCGGCACGTATGCGCAGGAGCGGGTGCAGGTGGAGAAGTTCGTATGCGACCACTGCAGCAGCACCTGGCGTAATGACTGACCCCGGGGAGAAAGAGGAGAGGGAGAAGAGAGAGAGAGAGAGAGGGGAGGAAGGCCATGGGAGTGGATGAGAGTGACGAGATGGGTGGCTGCTGCGAGTCTATCGGTCTGTTGTGTGTTTGTGTGTATTCAAGAGGCGATGGGGGTATCTGGATACTCAAGACTACGTGATGTGTGTGGTGTATGGTCGAGTGGCACATGCACCCCCTCAACAGAGAGCCGCCTCAAGAAAGAGACTCACGCGGGGAGAGAAGAGGGAAGTTTTGTGTGTTTTGTACAACGCGCTCGAGATTCCGAAGGCTGCGGCTGTCAGGGGCCCCGGAGCGGAGGATTCCAAACTGCATGTATGTACGTAAGTATGTAGGTAGATAGGTCTGCATCCGTGTTTTACGCAACTGAGCCATGTGTACGGCGCATAACACATGGCGGCGGCGGCGGCGGTCTGGTGGAGTCGGTGGTGACGCCGAGGTCTCTTTGTGCGCGGGTCGGGTGCGGCCCTTGACATTCAACTTTACGTTTGCCGCTCACTCACTGCCGCCCTCCCGGTTTTGTAGCTGTCGTCGCCGTCCTCCTGCTCCTCCTGCTCTCTGATGTCCTTTTGCTTTCCGTGCTGCCTATGGAGTACACTTTCCCCCCCCGCCCGAACCTCACCGCAGTTGGTGCCATTACATTCCCCGACCTACCCCTCCACATGAGGTTGGGGGGCACAACGAACCTCAACCAAAACCTCAACAGCGCCCCCCAGGTCGCAACAAGAAAACCACTCGGCGCAGATCATCCGAGGGTCACACTAACCTCTTTCACTCCCCGGTCCCCAAGCAAATGTCCGAGGGCTGCTCCTTTCACTTCCGCAGCGAACATCTGGTACGGCATATAGTACCAGTACGGGGCCGCTCGTTACACGGGCGGGCCGAACACCGGGCGGCACAGGGGACAGGGGACAAATTTCACCACACCCATACATCGCCTCCACACAACCTCCCGGCGGCACAGCACTTCCCTGTCCTCACGTTCCTCCTCTTCCTTCTCCTCGGAGAAGGAGGAGGAGGAGGAAGAGGAGGAGGAGGATACTTAGCAGCGGCAATCAGCGGCCCAATCCGGATGCGTGGGAGCGCGTGTCAGGGGGTGTGGGCTACGCTCCCCCAACCAAAGCTCCCCCAACCAAAGCTCCCCCAACCAAAGCTCCCCCAACCAAAGCTCCCCCAACCAAAGCTCCCCCAACCAAAGCGGGTGGCTGATTCACCACCCGCCCGCCAGGTGGGCCACAACACAACACAAGGCGATGCCTGGTACTGCATTTCCTGAACAACAATCAACTAGCGAAGATAGCGACATGAGAGCGATGAGATGCCCGGCCTCAGGTCTGTAGTGGACTTAGGGAAAAGCGCTTTGGTACGGAGTGCCGTACTGTACCACACTGTACCAACCAACCAGAACTATACGCCGTATTCAAGCGTTGACGACTCGGCCGCCGTTGGGGTGCAGACTCTGGCCGCTGATGTACGACGAATCCTCCGACGCCAGGAACACGTACGACGGGGCCACCTCACTGGGCTGCCCGGCGCGGCCCAGCGGGGTGCTGGATCCAAAACTCTTCACCTGCGGAGTAGTTCGGCATCCGTCGGTGGATTCTAAATCCGGTTCCGGCGGATGGCGCCTCTGGTTGGCCACGTGCGGAGCCGTGTACGGAAAAGAAGGAAAGCCCAAACCCCGAAACGAAAACACGCACGCGAGAGCTGGTTTAGATCAAAACGGTGCCGTACTTTAGATCCCGTTGCGTCACTCTGTCGTACCTTCTCCTCGGGAAAGGTGGCGGGGATGAGGGGTGTCCAGATGGGGCCGGGGGCCACCGAGTTCACCCGGATGCCTGTGTGTGTGTGTGTATTGGGGGGGGGGCCCGGGGGGGGGGAAAAGGGGGGAATTTTAGGAAGGGGAGGCGCTACCTATGTGGCCGTAGGTATGTCGGTAAACATCATGGAAAACGCAAATCACATCAACAGTGTTGTATACACAAATCGATCATCTTCTGCGTTAAGCGGTCGGTCGGTTAGCCAAAGGCACCTTTCCCTCTCCATGCTCGGCGGACTCGTGGGCTACTTCAGGAACTTGGGGGCCCATGGCACGTGGGGAAAGATACGTTTCGCACTAAAAGTAATATCTATACATTCAATGCAACATAAAATATGTATTACATATCATATGGAATATACACATCACACATATTGAGCTATGCATGCAGACGCCGTCTGTATACCGCTGCTGAGCGCCATCATGTGCATGGCTCTTGTGAATGCGGTGATGGCCCCCTTGGTCGCAGTGTAGTCCAGCAACTGGGAGTGGCCCGCGTAGGCGTTCACGCTGCGGAACGGGGGAGGGACGGGGAGCCAGTGCGACTATGTATGTATGTATTGTATGTATGCTTGTACGTTATGTTTGTATGTCCGTACGTATTTGAAAGGAACACCACCCACATCGAAATCAACACACAGTCCCAGCGGAATGTAACTGGTGGGCTCGGGACATACATACGTACGGCACGTGTATGCGCACCATCTCGCACAGGGAACTGTTCCTTCTGCGGGAGGTAAGGCCCACCTGGAGGTGTTGATGATGGAGGCGCCTCGCTTCAGGTGCGGCCAGGCCGCCTGAGGGGGCGGGGGGGGGGAGGGGGGAAAGACGAACCACGAACGAGTGAAGCTCCTGCCAGGGCAAGAGTGTACCAGAAGTAGAACTGACCAAAAGGCGTTCTTGAAGGCGGCGACCTCGGGGTGATGTAATGACGATGATGTCAGACAACTACCTACCTAGCCGCCAAGACTAAAAAAACGCGGAAGAAAAGCAGTAATACGTGGGGGGGGAGAGCTGACCTTCTCAAGTCCGAGCAATTACACACACAAGACAAACACACATACACACAAGCACACACACACAAGCACACACACAAACACACAAGCACACACACAAGCACACACACACACAAGCACACACGTGCAAAAGCTCCCCCCTTCCCGGTTGGTTGGCAACTCCCCATCCCACCCAACAGCAATAACAATAGGGATAGACCCGACTTTCCAATACACATCTTGCGACGCCTCTATAGCTTAGTGGTAGAGCGTTCCCTTCGTATTATCGGGATAGGGAAAGGTCCTGAGGTCATTCCTCAGTGGGGGCAAAATGCAGATTTCATTGATCTGGCATCTCTGGTAAAGTACGAATTACTGCCCCAGGCAGATTTTTGGATAATGACTTGCCAAGCTCGAATATTCTTCCGATGGTGGAAGGTAAAGTTCCTAATGGATGGACGGTGGTGACCTGGGATAAAGTTGACTTGCGAGCCGACCAGGAATGGAGTTAAGCCGCCGTTGATCCGGCAGATTCCGTTGGATGCTAGTGGTGGGTGCGGAACCTAAGCGATCCACTGAGAAGTGGGCTAGGGTGACTAGATGAGGGTGCCCCGAAATGCCGGGGAAGGCAGGGTTTCGCCGGGTAGCGGCCGCAGGGTGAAGATATGTCCCCCTGTCCCACACATCATACGTACCGGCACAACCCAGCCCTCCCTCCTCCCCAACTGCCCACCCATTGGCCTACCCGGCAGAGGAAGATCTGGGAGTAAATCTGCGGACCAGTAGGAGGAGGGGGAGGTGGTGGTTGTGGTGGTGGCAGGAGGGGGGAAAGGGGAGGTCAATAGAGGGAAGGAGTCGAGCAAGAACCCCTTCACGTGAAGGACACACAGGATCTCCCACTCAAGACATCGACATCACTCAGACTATCTTTTCCCACAAGCTCCGCCGTACAGCAACTACGTACATTTGTACGGAAAGTCCTCTGGATGCGCTCAGGATCCATTGTGGTGATGTCGTCCGCGGGGTGCTGCTCCGCAGCGTTGTTCACCAGCACGTCAATACGGCCGTACTCCTGCTTGCACCGTACGGGAAGAGGAGTACGTGTGAACACGTCAGCGATTCCCAGCTAGGGACCGGGACGGGTCCCAAAGCCGCATTTGGCGACATCATTTTCATCTTCATCCGGACGTTTGCGGCACCTGATTTGAAGTCCTAGGGCAGCTGCCGGCGTACCCCCAGTGCTGCTAGGGCTCAATAAATCACCCCCATTGCACACCCCCAGTTCAGATGACTTTCATACGAGCCCCGCCGCTGCTCCTCACCTTGATGGTGTCGTCGACCACTTTGTTGCAAAAGGAGCTGTCGCCCACATCGCCCGAAATGAGCGTGCACCTGTTGGGGCGGTGCGGGGGGGGAGGGGAGGGACAACATTCAGCCGGAAAAAGCAAACACTCGCTCTCCGCCGGCAGCCGGATGCGGTGCGTAGGTCGGGCAGAGCGCGGCCGAGGGAGGGAGGGAGGGAGGGAGAGAGGGAGGGAGGGAGGGCGGTTGCGCTCTCTCACTCCTATCCGCCAGGAGGGGGAGCCGGGACGCACAAGGAAGACGAAACCCCGGTGTTCCTTCGGGTTCCTCCGGGGCCACAGGAGGTACGCCCAGCTGAATGACACACGAGGGCAACAAAAGCGCCTCATCACTCCCTCGCCCTGCTCCCCCCCTTGAAGAGGGGAGGTGTCGCCGACACGGAAGCGATCTGACTCCTCGTCCAAACAAAAGCCACGCGCACCTCGCTCCCTCCTTGACCACCAGTCGCTTGGTCTCCTCCGCGTCCTCAGTGTGCGTGTGAAAACACACGACAACACCCGCGGCGCCCTCCCGGGCAAAGTGTACGGCAACGGACCGGCCGATGCCGCTGTCCGCGCCTGCCATGGGTGTGCGTTGGGACGGGTAAGAATATATTGTTTTTAAATACTGCAAAGCTGCTGCGAGGAGGGAGGAGGGAGGAGGGGTGCCTATCGTGGGGTGGTCGGGCGGGGGGCGCGCAGTTGGTGACGGGCTGGCATGACCCATGGGTCGGACTACTGCAATCTCACGCGCACTTGCCACTGTAGCCAAGGTAAATCGCTAAAACCTCCAGCCCCACAACCCACTAGCCCACCTGTGATGATGACGACCTTGCCCTTGAGCTTGGCGGCTCCCTTGTAGTCGGACCGAATGACCTCCGGAGCCGGGTCCATGGAACCTTGGGCGCCGCTGAAGAGCACAACAACGAGCGCATTACTTGATGGTGGGTGCAACCCCAAGAAAGAAAACAATTGTTCGCCTAGGCTCAGTTCCCCGCAAGACACAAGCAGCGGTGGTGCTGCTTTCAGGCTGTTGCTCAGGCACCAGGCCGAGTTTGCAAAGAGAGCTTGCTCCCACTAAGCCGACAGATACGGACTTCACCGTCCTGGTCGACCAAACGACCTCGAAGCCCACCTCTCGCGAGCCTCCTCCTGCGCCGGAAACATCTCTGACATGGCCAAACTCTTTCAGGAGCTGGCTGTGTGCCTTTCTTTCCTTTTTCTCTTTCTCCTTTTCTTTCTTCTTTCTGTTATGGAGTTACAAGAGTTTTTGGATGTCAAGGAACAGGGTCGCCGTGGCTTGCTGTCCGCTGTTGATGACACACAATGTTGCTTTCGTCAGGATCGGCAATTAGAGCCTGTTAAGGAGCGCATAACAAGGTTTCAGCTCCGGTTACACAAGTGGTTAATTACGCATAAAACGCTCTTTGGTTTCGTCAGGTTACTGGGAGCATAGAAGAGGGACCTTGGGATTTGTCTCCCGCGGTGGAGGGGAAAACATCTGTACGGCGATGATGACGCACACTTCCCGTCACCGACACAGCGATACTCGACGTATCGACGAAACTTGTATGCCCCTCCCTCTCTTGCACGCGCTCTTTTGTTTATGATAACTTCTTGTTGATATTATCTCTCAGCTGTGTACAAAGCTTTTATCTCAGGTGCTCCGGTCGGTTGCTACCGACCGTATGATGAGCCCGGTCGAATCGAGTCACAATCGAGATCCAGCGGAAGCGATTTTTACAGCGGCTGTTGAATCGGGATATGCAGCTTCTGTACCGCTTGTACACCCAGTAAGCTGAGCGATTCAGATGATGACATCCCACTTACTTTCTACTTCAAACAATCCGTTCACGGCGCTGGATTGCCCCAAGTCCATGGACGACGATGGCGAGGACTTACTGTCCTCGCCTAAGTTGCACCATAGCCCCGGGCCGCGATAATGGTTTAATTACAGGAGGCTGTTCGCATGTTGTGCGTCTTCGTGCTCACCAGCCTCGTGTGCGTGCTAGTTTGCACAACGCATTCATGAATGAGTTCGCGTGTTCGTGATGGATTCATTCACTGCTGTCGAGAAAGGAACTGGAGTTCGCGCCAACAACGGCGAGAAGAAGTCCGCAACCCGCCAGCCCCAAGCGGTGGTGAAACGTGCGATCTGTCGAAGTTTCGATACTACTAAGCAGGGGTGCTACTAAACGACATGTAAGACCATGAGCAATTGAGCAATCAGACAACGACCAGACAGCGGCTAGACACCGGCAAAACAAGTGCATACAGGGTCGCAACCAATTCATTCGCGTCCATCATCACTAAAATAACAAAAAATGCAGATTGTGTTATTTGCGCAATTGTAAGCAGGCAGCAGTATAGCCATTCGCAGTATGAACAGCCCGCTTCAGATATCTACAGCGTTGCATCCACACGACGTGTATGGGGGGTGCAGCAACTTATGGCAGAACAACCAATACCGTACCGCGACGTATAGGTCAGAAGCTACAGCACTACGCACGATGTCCTACTGCATGTTGATTAAGTGCTCGTCCTGTAGTGTAGTACGGCAAGTGCGGCGCGGGAGGAGCAGACCGGAATTGGCCAGAGGACAGTGACTGATACGGTAGTGCGTTACAAAGATTAGCTGGGAACAAAGCGCTGAATCCAGACAACGCTAGTTCGCCAGTCAACCGTGCAAGCAAGCGCAAGTCAGAACGTCGTCTGTTGGGGATTTTGAATTGTTTAAATAGAGACTTACTTTGTATTCGGGACCCAGCTCAATAGTAAAGTAGATAAGGCGATTTGACGTTGCTGGCATATCGGTCGCCAGTAACAGCGAAGTGATGGCAGAGCGCGAGCAATCGCGCGGCGGAGGCCAAGAAGGCTTGGAGGACATCCTCCAACAGCGGGACGAAGGAGGACACCAGAATGGCGGAGCACCTAGTTACCCGGAGGGGGCCGATGCGGTGAGTAACAGACGCCAGCTATTGCTCCGCGCGGTCAGACTGTAGGCACAGCCAGCCGCCGCAAGTTCTGTTATATCAAAGGCGATGGGAGAGACCGGACCCAGTTTTAAAATAGCGGGAAAGGGATGCGCCGCCGCTGTTGTTT